CAGACATACAAGATGTAAAGATGACAGGTAACAGCTGAATTCCTGCTCCAAACCAGTGCACACGCGTTTCTTCCCCAGTTTCCAAGGCCCCTATCTATTGCTAGCTCTCACGCTAACTGTTCTCAAATCACCTCCAGCTTCACCCACACTCCCATTTCTATCTCTTCCCAATAGCCCTAAAACCTACTCCTAGTCCTTCTTTCTTTGTCCTTGTCCCTCCACACAGACAGATGTGAAGTTCTCCATCGCTGCAACCCACCTGTGAGTAGCACATGTGCACAGAAACCCACCCACATACTGTTCGAGGCAACCCCCTTCTTTTCTGTACCTCATTAAGAGACCAACACTACCAGACACGCTGAAGTCACAGGGGAAAAAGAAACTTCTCTCTTCATGCTCATTTTTTCTTCTCTCCCTTCCTTCTCTTCACGTATTTTGGAAAAAAAGCCTGGTATGTCATATAGCAACTTCTTTACCAAAACAAATGTCACTCTTCCTCCTCAAATCAACAACTGAATGACTTTATAATACGAACACAAACAGAAAGCACTGCTATGTATATATATGGGAAAAAAAACCCCCAAACTTAATTTTCTTAATAATCATAAATATATACGGGGAAAGACAGAACTAAGCTACACATTAAGACATTTAAATAATTGTTCCTGCTAACTGTAGGCCTGAAAATGGAACACACCAACACAACCGATTTGTGAATCACATAATAAAGAAGGTTCTACCACAGAGCTAGAAATGAAGTTTAAACAAAGACCTAGCAACAAAGGTACAAAATAAACGTTTGGAAAATGAACGTTACACTGGAACAGCACGGCTATTATTAACACAGCACAGCACCGATCCTTAGATCAACAGTAAGTTAGGTTTACAGGAATACAGGCAGATAGCATACAGGAAACATAACTGCCTAAAATCACATGTCAAAACCCCTTTTGTCTGAAGTCTTTAGTAATCACAGAGCGTATTCTGAAAGGCTGCACTGCAGTAGTAATATTCGAAACATTACTCCCTCCCACCATCAATTCTCAGAGAAAGTATTCATGGGCAAGTTGTTCCTTGATTTTTTCCCCCAGATTTTCCATAAAAATTCTTAGGCTGGGAGGGAAGTCCGCACCCTGAAGTATCTTAGGCTGTCACATTTTTAGCTGGTTACACAGCATGAAACATACCTGTTACATAAAGGAGAATTTATGACCGTGACCTTATGCAAAAATGCTAGCAAGCGCAGTTGTGATAACAAAGACTTTGTGATAACAAAGCACTGGGGCTTTTGTGCACGGTGGTTTATACCTCAGTATGTTCCAAAATAATAATACTACAACTGCAGCCATCGCTGCATCTCATGCTGAAGAGAAGCTGAACCGAAACTCAACTCTGTAGCACCCAAGTCCCAATAAAGAAAATGACCTCTCCTAGACAACCTATCATAACAAAAACACCTATTACAAAAACGCTGAGGATTCCTTTTCTGCCATAAGGCAATCTTATCCCAAACAAGCCCTTCATCTTCACACCAAGACAGCTTTAGCAGGATACATAACCGTTCTACTGTGACATCTAAATCACCTCTGCTTAACTGCAGCAAAACGTGTCATCCCAGGTTTGCACTTCCCACGCAAGACAGGAACCATTAATCTCAGAGGTTCTGATTTTTTCTACCTCCTTTTCCACTTCCAGCGTTTGGGGAACTGTCCCAACCGCTAACCCCTAACTTTCCTGTTAAAAGCAGGCCTCTGTGCCGTAAGAAACAAGACCTGACAGACATCGGGGAGCCCAGGTTTGTAGCTCTGCTTCCCGCAGCTAACAGGTATTTTGCTCAGTGAGTTTTCAACAGGAGACGCACAAGCGCCGTTCAGAGCACGCATCAAAACGCAGGATTTCACATCCCGGAGGAAGGTGTGCACGCACTCCTGAGCCGTGGGAGATGTGGCTTTGAAGGAAGACAGCAGAGCGCAGCTTAGGAGTCAGCCCTCTCACGTCACGTTTGTGTGTACCTCCTAAACCATCATATAAAAGGTGGGTACCTCAGACTGTAAGTCCCCATCCCCGGTCAGGCCAAGCAAACGCAGCCTCTCTCCCCAAACAAGAGACACTTGGCTATTTTGGCTTTTCTTCTTCGTCTGCCTTGACAGTGAAGATGCTGTGATAAACTTATTAAAATGCTTATTTCAAATGAGCGCTCTTCGGGCACATGTCGTTAGCTCAGCGGCAGCAGCCTGGACATTCAATCTCAGTTTTCTGAGAGAATGAAAATATCTCACAGAGAGCAAGCGTGTCACAGCAGCTTTACACTGTTACATCTGACATACAAAAACTAGGATACACCAGCAACACAGGATTATAGTTCTCCACACCGATGAGAAACTTAGTCTTTATTGAATCCTGAAGTGATTATTAAAGAACACAAACACCTAACCTGGTGTGCTCATCAAGAGGAATATTCTACCATCAAATGGCTAAACCAACATGCAAAACGCGAAGTTACCTTTCTAATTTCATCCAGCACGGTTTCAAATGATTTCTTATCCATCTTTATTAGTTCATTCAATGCAGATATTTAAATATGGAAGAAAAAAATTAAAAAAAAAAAAAATCCAGGCCAAAGACTTTACCAAGAGTCTTTAAGCATACGGAAAGAAAAAAAATATCGGGGAAAAAAAAAGCAGCGGGGCAAGAAAGGCAGCCTGGGATCTTCTCAGCCCCCAGGAATTGAGCGCCGACGCCTTTGCAACGCTGGACACGGCGCAAGAGACAAAGGCAGACCGCCGGCTGCTGCTCCCCGCCCCGCAGGGGGCCCGCGGCCGCCCGCCGCCACCTTCGC